GTGGAATCATATCCCTTTCTGACTATGATTGCAGAATATATGTCTTTGTCCTACATGGAAAGCTGATAAAATGGGTATTAGCCATATGGCTAACAAATAGCACTAATATATGCTTCTACTATATTAGGATTTTAGTTTAACTTCATGCTTTCTGTTAAAAATTATTTTTTCATCAGAACCTTCATTTTTCTTTTATCCACTCTTCAAGCAGATTTTAAGAGTTTTTAATAAAAATTCCTGTGAAATTGTCAGTGAGAAAAATATATTAAATTTAGTAAGAAAATCCCATCTTTAACTTCAATAAAGTATCATAGACCACAGAATCTTAAAAGTGTTTATTTTTTATTAGCTGCCTTAGGACTACAAGGATTTAAGTGTTTTTACAAAAACAATAAAAGAGGAGTAATTTGATGGTTTATTTACTCTTTATAACCTTTAGAAAGTGTCATGCTTTTTTAAAGTGCTTGCTTCAGGCTGTAGTTTTACAAGATGGGCTGTGTACTGGTCAGACCTCTCCAGTTCTTGACCCTGAACAGATTTAGGAACACGGCACATACAGCAGGCACAGCTGCAAGCAGCATGGACTATAACGGGGCACTTCCATTCTCCGTTCCAAACTCATAATCCACTCCTACAAAATTGCTTGGTTCCTTTCCTAATGTTGTCTAACAAAATATTCAGTACTCTTCTAGATAGTTTCTTGGTCTGATTTCCTAAAAAGTACTCATTATAAATGTCTGTGATACTCGTGGGATAGCTTACATGTTCATTTTTAGGAAAATCTCTTTCCCAATAGTATTTAAACTGCTCTTTCTTCACATTAGTGAATTCATTTCCTTGTGGAGATTAGGGCCTTAATCGCCTTATGAAGATTTCTGACATAGAAAAATATTAGTATTAAAACATTCAAAGCAGTTCTTAAATTTTTTGTTTTTCGTGCCACACATATTTCTAGCTTTTATCTTGAAATGTTCTACCAAAAATCAGAATGTACTTGCGTATTTAGCATAAGTAAGTGATTTTGAATGGTGTCATAACTTCTGTGGGATTTGAAGATTGAACTCTGAAGCTGTTGAAGGGAAGGAGTAATCATAACAATCTGCTCTCCCGCAGCACCCACAGTCTCCTGGAGATGAAGTCATGCAGTGTTTAAGAGACTCTGGAGACAATGATCTGGGCTCAGACACTGGCTCTGCTGTTTACCTGCTATGTGACTTTGTGCAAGTTATTGATCCTCTTGCTACCTCAGTTTCTTCAACTACAAAATAACAATAGTTAAGAATATCTGCCTTGTAAAATTGTACCCAGGATTAATCAATACATATTAAATACTTAGAACAATATATAGATCATGGTCTAACAACTGCATGACAAAAGCAGTGTCTTGCCCATTTTCAGTCTGCCTGCTTTGGAAAGAGATGTGTATACGATACACATCAACAAATGTGTATATAATTATTCTTTCAAACTCAAATTTAGGTGTATAATTTCAAATTTGGCTTTGTTGCCAAGCCAGGCTTTCTGGCCTTGAACTGAAAATCTTCCTGTCTCAACCTCCCGAGTAGCTGGGTTTGCAGGCACATTCTGCCATGCCTGGTCAGTGTATATTGATTCATACACGAGAATAATGCACATTATGTATTACTGCAAGAGATCTTAATCTTGCCTCCCTTCACTCTCATATAGCAGGCATTGTTGGTGTGCATTTCTCCTCATCTTTGGTGGGAGACCCCTGGTTGTGTCTTAGGGCTCACTTCTCATCACTGTGAGTCAGGTAAGTTCTCATTGGGATCAGTCATTCATGAAGGTCCAGTGTGTGCCCTTGCCAGTGACTGGCCTCAGAGTGGGCATGTAAACTAGTTATAGCAATGAGATTGGAAGATGTGTGTTGAGAGGCTTGCATTACTCTTTTATTAAGAGAATGCACTCTTTCTACTGCAGGTTACTCTCTCCTGTCTACCCCCAGTGCTGGCAATTATGGTAGCCTTTCTGTAGCCACAAGAGGTAGAAAGCCTAATAAAAATTACTTTGATGATGGTAAACTGGAAAGATAGTCAGAATCATAACTTCTGATATTGTTGAGTCAGCCACTGAAATAATCTTACAAGTGCTCTCTCTTAGACCCCTTTTCATGTGAGAGAATGCCCATGAGCCATGTAGGTTGGGTTTTGTTGTTACTTGCTGCTGAAAACATTCTAAATGAGACAACATTCATGAAAGTTTGTGTTTAGTGTAGTGTAAGTGTGTGTGCATGGCTGTGGGTATGGGTGTGAATGAAGCTGGGAATACATCGTGAGTCACAAAGAAAAGAGTTCATTTTAAAAGCTCACACAGTTTTTTAATGTCCTTTCTTTGACCCCTCCCCAACATTTTGTTATGAAAATTATCAAACATACTGTAAAATTGAAAAAAATTTACAGTAAATACTCATGCTATATTAATATTTTACTGTACTTGTTTGATTAAAACTCTTTTGACTTTGTTCTTTTGATTTCCAATTGCAGACATCAATTTAACTCCAGTATTTCCTATCTAAAGTATTTAAAGTTTTAAATACTTTAAAATGCCTTTTATTGTGTTTGCTATTTGTTTAGTTTTTAACCCTAACATTTACATACAGTGAAATGTATAAATATTGCTTACACATTTAATGAGTTTTGACAGACTTTTAGGCTTATATAAAGCAAACCTGTATCAAAATATAAAATGTTTCCACCAAACCATAATCTCCCTGGCCTCTTCCTAGGCAAATTCTACCCCTCTTCCCTCCCAAGAGGTAACCACTCTTTTGATATTTTTTCACTTAGTTTGGTTGTTGTACCATTTCATAGAAATGGACTCATGGATTACATACTCTTTTTTTAGGTAAGGGTCTTTTCCTCTGCATGTACTAATCCATCTGTGTTATATTAGAAAATATCCTGTATGGTTTTTAAAAGTATAGACTGAAGTATTTCATTTCCTCTGGCCTGACTGTAAGCTGCATTTCAAGTTTTGGTTTCTCAGTGTTCATTGTTAGTATATAGACATGGGGTTGATTTTTGTGTGGGTATATTGTCTTGTTTATAGCATGAGGAGGGTTCTGTCTGCCTGCTCACTATGGAAGCAGTTAGTTGGGAGGCAGGGTGGTGGTGGAGAAAGCATTGTAGGGTGAGCCGGCTGCTTGGGAGGTGGAGGCCATCTTCCCAAGGCCGGTTAGGGATGGTAATGGAGGAGACTGGTGGCTGCAGGCTGGCGGGCACCTTCTCCCAAGTGGAGGCATGTGGCCAAATCGTGCAGTCTGATCTTACTGAGTCACAAGATGTTTCTCATTCTGTAACCCTCAAGGACAAGCGTGATAAAGATTGTTTTTTAAAATAAAACATATATATATTCGGAATGAGCTACACCAAATTTAAGTTCCTGAAAGTGTACTTGAACTCAATTTGTCTTGCTCCTAGTTTTCTGTATTTTGACGTTGAATAAATGAACAGCTGTTTAAATAAATTATATAATCTAATAAATTAGTAGCTTAAGACATCAATAAAAAAAGAAGAAAAAGAAAAAAGCTCATTATTTCCTCAGGCTGTTCTTGTCATAGATTAGTTTGCTCACATGCGGGTCCTGCATAGGCTGGAGGGGGTCGCTGTCCAGGTGTGTCAGTTAGGGGAGTATCTTAGTTTTCTTATTAGGGCTGAGACAAAAATACCCGCTGCCTAAGGTTAAAGGGGGAAAGGTTTATTTAGCTCAGAGTTTGTAGGGGTTTTCCATGGCAGTGGAAGACAGCAAAAGCAACAAAGGGCGGGGGAAAGCCTCTTTCTGTCCCATATATTGTATGCAGGCTACTCACCCTGGAGCAGGAGTAGCACTCACACCCTTAATCCCAGCATTGGACCATGAGTCAATCATAAACTCTAGATTCAGCCACCTCAGAAAAGCTCTGCATCCATGACTGCATTTGGCTTTAGGGGAACATATAGATGCATAACAGGAAGAAAACACACTTTACCTGGTTGTTTTGAAAGACAATGGTTGGGGCTGGGGATTTAGTTCAGCGGCAAAAAGCGCCTGCCTGGCAAGCGCAAGGTCGTGAGTTTGGTTCCTGGTACCGGAGAAAAACCAAAATAAAAAGAAAGACAGTGGTCACCTGAAGTTAAGGAATCAGGCACCAGACCTGGTCTTAGCACTCAACTTCCGTGTGACTGCCAAGTTCATTATTCTGGGAGACTTTGTAGGTTTCTCAGGGTTTTCTTTGTGTGCATTCATGCCATTGGCAAGTAGCTTCATTTCTTCCTTTCTGGTCTATGTATTTGTTTTTCATACCTTCTCACAATGGTCAGACTTTCAGCATTGTATGGAACAAGAGCAGTGAAAGCAGCTGTCCCTTCATTGTTCCTGAGCTCAGAGCAAAAGCCTTTTATTTTTCTCCATCAAATGTAACACATGTTACTTGTAGAGTTTTTATAAATGCTCTTTTCAAAAAGTAAAAGTAATTTCTTCTATTCCCAACTTGCAGAGAGGTGGTTTTTTTAAAATCATGAATGGTTATTGGATTTTGTCAAATATTTTTTCCATGTCAGTTTATATAATTTTATCATTTAAATGTTTGGCAAAATTCTCCAGTGAAATAGTCCTGATGTGGAGATTTCTTTTTGAAGAATCTTTAAATTAAAAATTCAATTCCTTTAATGGTTACATGGCTAAATTCTTTGTATCATCTTTGTTGAGTGTTGGTAGCTTGTGGTTTTTAAAAAATTGAACCATTTCCATCAAATTGAGAATATAAACTTGTTTTGTGGTTAACATTCTCTTATTACTTTTTTAATGACTGTAGTATTTTGGGCAAGATTTCATTAGTTATTTGAGCATATTTAAAATAGTTGATTTAAAGTCTTTGGGTAGTAAGTCCACTGTCTGGGCTTCCCTGGAACCATACTATTTCTATTTCCCTAGAAAGAGCTGAACTGGAATGTCTCAAAGTTGTAATTTTCATAGAATTTTTCTTTTTCTTTTTGACTCAGGAAGCAGAAGCTCAGTATGAAGAGCAGATTGGTAAAATTATTGTGGAAACACAAGAACTTAAATGGCAAAAGGTAATTATTTCCCTCCCTCAAATTAGTGTTCTAAACATCTATTAAAAATACATTCTAATCCTTACCACAGAATTGCTTCTGGCAGTGCTGGGAATCAAACCCAGGACCCCTCTACCACTGAGCTATACCCATACCCCTTTTTATTTTGGAATAGAGTCTTGCTAAATTGTCCAAGTTGGTCTTGAACTTGCGATCCTCCTACCTTAACCTCCCAAGTAGTTGGGACTACAAGTATGCAACCCTGTACCTGGATTTTACTGAAAATTTTTTAAATTTCCTAAAATTATTTGGGGCTAGTGTTAGCTGGAGCAAGGCCTCAAGAAAATTTCAACTAAAACTGTTGATCACATTTAGGCTTCTAGAAAACTGGGAATAAAAATTTTGTTTAGGCATTCTGATATTGTAGTATTGACGATAACTCTGAAAAACCTGTGTTATTTTACATCCAAGAAACATACTGTGTATTATGGGAATAGGACCTCTTGAAAACAGTGAAGCCTCAGAACTAGTACCATATTTTCCTAGGGTATTGTTACATAATGTAACCAAAATGACAGTATATCCCAGCTCTTATTTTCTTTGTAGCTTTGTACAGAAGCACTTTTGATGGTGATATAGGGGGAAAGAAATTCCCAATCTGTTAGATGTCTGGGATGAAAGCGAAGAATGAATTTTAGGAACAGTGGAGATTAGGAGCAGAATATATTTATTGGGGGAAAGAAAGCTTCTGTGTGAGAGAGAGACAGAAGGGGTCCTGAGTGGGTTGCCAAGGACACTGCCTTTTGTAGGGATTTTGTAGAGCAAAACCACAAGGTGAGGCGGGTCCACGGCAGGAAAAATGGGAAATTGCAAGGTGGGCATGAGGTGGGACAAAACTATGGTCAACCAATAAGATTATGAGTATACTTGTTCAGGTAAAATTGATTAAATTGGGATCAAATGAGGAAGCAAGTTACAGCAAGCAGGCGTGAGTACACAACGGGCTTTTCCTGTAGGGGTTTGGGTTAGTGGCCCTTCCTGGCTTCCTCGGGGTTATAGATACCTATTTAGAATATCAATCCCTGATGTTTATCCTTAGGGAATATGTGGGTACATTCGTTTTATCCTTTGTCTTGAGGTCTGGTCCACAGCAGAAGTGCCTGTCTCCCCCACAGTTGCAAGGTATCTCGTCTTCTGCACTGGCTCCTTTGAGGGCCTAGCCCTGTCTGACTGCCTATAATATTTTTATCTAACTTAGCTGCCTGTAACAATGGTGCCTTCTTATATCTTTATCTCCAAGTGCTCTCACCAGCTAAAAAGTGAAAGCTTACAGTGGCCCTTCTCCTTCTTTCTTAGCAATACTGAAATAGGAAGTTAGGGCTAAGGGGGATGAGACTGAGAATTTAAGTGGCAGAGTTTAGACCGACCTAGAAACGGTTAGAATTTTGAGGCTGGACAGGCCCACAAGATTGTGCATAATATGGGAATGAAACCAGAGCTAAGTGATACAAGGTCTCTTACACAACTGTCAGTGGAAGATGCAGGTAAATACTCAGTAAAAACCAAAGCTCACAGCAGATTTCAAACTAAAATCATATCTGTGTTCGGTGGTTTGCTTATTTTGACATTAGGATGTTGCTGTGTTACTTGGGCTGTTCAACTTCCAGACTCAAGAGATCCTCCTGCCTTGGCTTTCTGAGCAGCTGATAGCCACAATTGATTCTTAAGCACATTATTAAGCTATAGTAATTAAAATAGCTCTGTTGTATACACGAATACTCAGTAAAATTAAATAAAATAAATAAATCCAAGTACATAAGATAATTTAGTAAATGATAAAGGTGGTTTTCACATCAATAAGGAAGGATATATTATTGAATAAATGTATTAGAGCTGGGTTCCATCGAAGGAAAAAAATTAAGCTAAATTTCTATACTACCTTATAAACTTGTACAAGCGCAGAAACTTTGCTGTTTTTGGCACTGTAAATTCTAAGTACCTTGTTGTGTTCCCCAAAATAGCACCAAACAACATGTTAAAAAGCAGCTGTGAACTGCTTAGAACTCAAGGCAGCATGAACACTTCATGGGAGCTTACTGTTTTGGCAGGGGCACATCGGAAGGGGAGTGTAGAATCATAGATCTAGGCTGGCTTTAAGCAGGTCTTTTAAGGCAGGGCATTGATTGGGGTTGGGGAAATCTTACGGTGTAAATTTAGGACTAGTGAGTGTAGCTCACAAGGGTCTTGAAGCTAGTTCTGAGACTAAGCTGTTACTTGATGAGCCGGGCATTTAACCACGTAAATTGTTGTCTCAGGTAAATCTGCAGCAGTTTCCTGAAACAGTGTCACCATTTTGTTATTTTTTCTAGCCTTGTACTGACTGGTCAAAGCCTTCCTGGGACAAGAAACTGAGTCACTAGCACAGGAATTCTCAGTGCTTAGTGCTGATAGCTCAGTTCTGTGCTCAGCCCCCTTGCTTCCTCAGCTTGAGCTGGAGAAGCTTCTGGTAAAGTACCACACTGGTAGGTGTGGTACTCAGGATCTGTGCGACTCTCTGAAGAGTGATAAGGGTGCACAAGGCTGTTTCTGGGATGTCTGCTGGTAATGTCTAGTGTTCCCTGTCTTTCCTGTCTTGGCTGACCACTTATAGGCTCATTTGCTAGCACAAAGCCTGTGTAACCGTATTTAAGGCTCCAGAAGCCACACATCTGGACATACAAGCATGGAAAAATGCTATAGAAAAGATTTTATTAGACTTCATAGATCTTTCCTTATCCAGCAGCTGAGAACACCCAAATTCAACCAAGAGAATGGAGACCTTCAAATCATACCTTTCATCACAAATACACTCTATGTATTGAGTTCATATATAGAGTGGCCAAAAATGCAGAGAGCTATATTAAGAATAAGGACCTTGGAGTTAATCATGGCTAAGAAATAAGATAGGTTTGCTCATTTAAGAGTTAATAAAGGGGAAATAAAATATTTAGGAAAACAAAAGCCTCCAAATCAGAGCATTCCAATCTGTGGCCTCCTACTGCTCAACGGGACGGTCGTCCATGTACCACCAGCAGTTCAAGCTGGTGGGAACATGTTAAAGGAGTGTATCTGTGTTCCAATAAAGCTTTTTTATGGACACTGAAATTTAAATTTCATCCAATTTTCAGGTGACTCGAAGTATGAGTCTTCTTTTGATAATTTCCTTTTCATCCATTAAAAAGTGTAAAAACTATTTTAGCTTATAGGCCAAACTGAAACAAATAGTTAACCAGATGTGACCTGTAGGTCATAGTTTGTCAACCCCTGATTTAGAGCTGAACTGGTGGAAGCTGTTTCTTTCTGAAGGTGGTATGTTTTTGAGGTTTTCTTCAGACTCCTTAGTTTTCAGTCTCTTGATGGGATGGCATGTCAGGGGTTGGAGAGTGAAACCTCCTACCTGTTCTGCTAGGAGCCGTGACTCCAAGGACCTGTGCCTGTACTTTAGCTTCTGTGCTAGCGAAGTCCCTGGTAGAATTATTTCCAGCATGATTTCAGGGTGTCTTGTTTTCTCTGAGAGACATTCACAGAAGACATTACCCTGAGTTTTAGGTTATGCAGAGGAGATGCAGCATATTTATTGGTAAGACTCTGAGGCATGTTGCATGTCTGAAGTAAGGAAATGCCCCAAACAGGAGAAGGGGCAACCTCTACCAAGTGTGTCTGGCAAACACAAGTCGTGTAGGGAAGAGTGGCTGTTATAGTCTTAGGAGGCAGAGGTAGTGGAAAAGTAATGCACCCTTAGCTCTTTCTGCTTTGTCTTAAGATTGAGGATGATGGGGGCAATGAACTTCTCAATACATGGCAAGGCTTTGCAAAGTTCTGTAATAGCAATCCTGATAATTGTTTCACTTCATTCCGAGAGGAAAGCAGTGATGAGAACATTCAGAACCCACTGTAGGAGTCGTTTTAGGAAATGCGTATGTACGGAATGAGGTTTGTATTTATAAGGATAACTTTTATTAGGGTGGTTCTGGTGACAGATGAGGTGTACACCAGGGACACCATCAGCAATCTTAGAAAAACTTCCCACCAGTGCTCAGTGAGTATAGTTTTCAGTCTGTCCTTGTCTCTGATGGATGACCGCTTGTAAAATTTTTGTGAAGTCTCCTGAGGTCCTCTGGTGCCACCAAGTGTCTGTTCTGAAAGAGATTTCCTTTGGTTATTTACCATCTTTTTTTTTTTTTCTTCAGACTCTGGAGCCAGTACTGGGCTTTTCAGAGTAGCATTTTGCAGTCTCTCCCACTTTGGCTGTGGGGGTATGGTGGGTTCCAGGACCATGTAATGTGAAGATTGGCTGGGACATTTCTTTTGGCCTTTGTGTTACCCCTTTCAGTGTGCATTCATGATCGCTACCCCCTTAGGAAGCACAAGAGCACTGAAACTTGTTGACCATTTGAGATTGTGGTTCTTCCTTAGCTCAGAAGCCTTTGTTGTTTCTGCAGTATTTCAAAACCATGGGTGTCTACATAGCTGCTATCGTGTTCACCCTTTTATTTCTCAACAGTAGACAAGCTGTGCCAAATAGTGTGAGTTCTTTGATATGGGCAGATTTTACTTCTCCTAAGGAATCACACTTTTACATTGTATCCAGCCTGCTATTTTTCTGTTTTTGGTTTCAAAAAATGACTTATCAACAGACAAGATTAAGCCTAAATTTACTCTATGGGGAGTGTCTAATAATTCTGCTTGTGCCAAAGCCAGTGCTCAGATACTGGGTGATCATGAATTTCCCCTTCTTTGGATAACAGGAAGAGTATCAGGCTTTACAAAAAGTTTCTGTATAGGCAACACTTACTAGAAATGGAGATCAAAGAGAGATATTTTATATAGGAAGTTGCTGATTATTAAAATATTTCTAGGGCTGGGTATATTGCTCAGTAGCATAAGCGCCTGCCTAGCAAGCACAAGGTCCAGAGTTCGATTCCTGGTACAGAAAAGAAAAAAAAGTAAAATATTTCTAGAAAGGAAGTTTGGCAGGCACTGTCTTCAGTCTCTCTCACTGTTAGTATATATTTTTTATTAAGGCGTAAAACATTTAACCTGTTTTCCATTTAGATCCTTACATATATTGTATATAAAGTGAATTATGTATATATTCATATATAAGATGAATAACATGTAAAGGGAATCTCAGCACTCTGGGAGGCTGAGGCAGGAAGATCACAAATCTGATCCTAGGCTGGGAAAGTTGGTGACCTAGCAAGACACCCTATTTCAAAAATAAATAAATAAATAAATAAATAAATAAATAAATAAATACTAGGATATAGCTTAGAATAAAGGCAATGGATTCAATCCCTGGTGCTGCCAAAAGGGTACAATAAATAGTATATGCATAGTTTCTAGGTATGGAATCTTAGAGGAGAAAGCAATATTTCTGTCTTGGAGACCTCAAGGTAATGCTCTCAAGCTGGAGCAGGATGAGCCCATGGATTGTGAGATACCCACTATCTGAGTAGCTCATTGACTTTGAGGAAGAGGCTTCAAATATTTAGAAACATTTTTCTCTGTAAGTTTGAGGATAAAATGAAAAACTGGGTGCATAATTCCCTCCAGGGGCGGCCATTGATGTGCCCACTTAATTTTCCCCTTTATATTCTTAGCTAGAGCAGGGCCGTTATTTCTCCAGTGTCGTATCTCATACACATCTGCAGCTAGCTTTACCAAGGCTTTCTCTCTTCCTGCCTCCTAACTGCAGTGTTTAGTTGTGTTAGCGGTAAGGTCAGCAGGTTATTATTGGCTTTTATTCTGAGCCTTGAAGATCTGGATTTGGGGTTCCAGTTATAGAGTTAATTTCCATTCCAATACTTGCTGCATATTAAATCCCCTATTTTTGGATCCAATGCTGTTCACAAGAAGGAGAGAGCTGGAGGTCTATTTTTCAGAGTCTGTCCTCAAGGAACTAATTCCTAAAGTCTCTGGTACACTTACTCATTCTTTCCTTCTTTGGTGGCAGGATTAGAGTCTACTTTGCTTTCCTAGCAGAAACTTTGGGGATAGCTTCTGCAAGATTTTGCCCAACACCTACAGCTTTTCTAAATTTGTTTCCTACGCAGTTGGAGATTTTTTTCTAAGCTATTCTTGGAATTTCCTCATTTTGCCTTTCTCATTCTTTTATCATCAGAGAACATGAGCCAATTGATACAGATCTTAGAACAGGCAGTATTATTTTTAAAGTTAGCTATAGAACTAAACATATTTTAAGTAATTATGAACTTCTGAAAACAGAATGAGAAAAAATATTATGTACTGTTTAACTCAGAATGGAATAACAGCTACGTAGTCACAACAGTGTAACTACTGACTAGCTGTTGGGTTCTGGGAAAGTTTTGATATAACTGTGTTAAAAGACCAGAAGGAGAAGATTTAGAGTAATGGCTGTATAAGAAGACTAAACTTACAATAACAGAAGTCAAGAGATAAACTTTCACAATGTTTTATCTTGGTTTCCTAGTACATATATGTAGTGCATAATGTTTACATTCCTTGTGGGAGGTTGTTACATGCACATTATACACCCCAATTCCTCTTTTCTCATTCCTTTTCCCTTCCCTTCTTCTCCTCCCTTCCAGTTTTTAATCTCCTTCCCCACTGAGAACAATCTATCTCCTTACTTCCTGTTACCTAGCTTTTGTTTTGCTATTTATTTTTACTCTGTGTTTCTCATATAAGAGAATCCATATTTAAGCTTGTGTGTCTGATTTATTTCACTTAACATTATGATCTCAAGATGCATTCATTTTCCTACAAATGACTTGTCTATCCTTCTTTATATCAGCGTACTATGGGGTGTAAAATGCATTTTTAAAAGTCCATTCATCTGTTGATGGACATATAGGCCACCTAAGAGATAAACTTTTAAAATTGTTAAATCAATGTATTGCTTAGAAATATTGAGGAAAATAACAAAGATTGGAAAGTGGCTGGGCATAAAGGTGCCCACTTGTATTCTCAGCTACTGGGAGGCTGAAGCAGGAGGATCACAAGATGAAGGCCAGCCTGGCCAACTTAGTGAAACTCTGTCTCAAAATCAAAAGTAAGGGTTGGGGATATAGCTCAATGGTAGACTTCTTGCCTAGCATATACATTGCCCTGGTTTGAACCCTCAGTACTGCACTGGAAAGAAAAAATCAAAGTGGTTACCATTCTTAGACCTATTTTTTTAATGAGGGAAATTATTAACTTTGATAAGATAGAAGAAATGTGTAAAGTTTTCTGATCTAAAGGATAGAACATACAACTTACACCATAAAAGAGGGCAAGGGATAAATGGAGTCCTTCTTTTAATGCCCTGTGGTAGCTTTGGTTTTGCAAAAAAACAAAAAAAATTATTTCAGACTTTAAAAGACGTATATGTTGCCATATGAACATTTTTGCATAGATAATAAAAATGGTTTCTCTGGAAACCCTAAAACTGTAGGGTAACAGCTTGTGTATTAAGATTCTTAATTTTAATGCTTTTAGTTAAAAGATATTTTCTTGAAGAAAACCTAGAGGTTCAGAAAAAAAATTTTGTGATGCTGGGGATTGATCCCAGACCTTCATGCATGCTGGGCAAGTGCTTTACCAGGCCCTAGACAGCAATATAATATTTATAATGAAGAAGCAAGAAGAATAATAATGCTTATATGATGAATTTATGACAAAAGATCATAAAAGTTTTTAAAGTTGTGTTTCAAGAGCATACAGTGCAGAAAAGTGCATTTATGTTATTTCAATTGTGAACCAAACTAATGTTTAAAACTAAAATTGTTGCTAGAATTTCTTTAACTCCTTGTAATTTTTAAAATAGGAAACGCTTCAGAATCAAAAGGAAGCATTAGTAAAGCAACACAAAGAGGCAATGGAAGTTTTAAAAAAGCAGGTAATTTCACAAACTACAGTTTTGTTTTGTTTTTTTTTTTTTTGGTTTTTCTCCGGTACTGGGAACCAAACTCATGACCTTGCGCTTGCCAGGCAGGCGCTTTGCCACTGAGCTAAATCCCCAGCCCCTACAAACTACAGTTTTAAATACTGTATTTCTTTCCCCTCCCATGAATATTGTGACAAGCTGTTTTCTGTACTCACAGTAGACAAATAAAAAAGGGTCTTACAAAAAATAGGAAATGAATTGAGTTATTTTGAATTATAACTGACAAAGTCGTAAAGGAAATTTGGAGCACTGTTTTCTTGTTGATGGAGGAGATATGTTCTCACTGGCCCTAAATAACTTAGGTGAGTGAAGTGTGTGTCTTTGTTCTTTCTCTCCCTTTTCTCTCTCTTCTGTTAGAATATCCTAGAAGCTTGCCTTTTCCACATTGCTCCATTACCAGAATCTGATGTAGAGCTGAGACACATGTAGGGAAATGTAAAGGCGGAGGAGAGGTGATTATCACACACTGAAGCCTCTATCAATATCAACTACCAGTAACTGAGAAAGACTAGTAGAAAATTTTTTTAAAAGGTTTAAAGAGATTGCTAGCAACACTTTCCGTTAATTCGTATTCTATAGCTCTTTTTGATGGCCTCAAATTTCTCTTCAGTCCATAGTTAAATTTAATATTAGTTTAAGAAAATGTGCTCACGTAAAATATTTTTTGGAAGTTTTTTCCTTTTATCTATCGCATTGTCCTCATTTTTTTCTTCCTTTATTTCCCTCTTTTTTGTCTTTACATCCATACAAGAGCATGGTTAGAAGAAGAAAGAAATGCAGCTAAAGAAATAAACCTATACAATCTGTGTCACTCCTGGGTTAAGGTTATTGATAATTTACATCTAAGTGTGAATTTGCTTCAACAAATGACAGGCTTTCTTCTTTTAATCTGAAGTAGCTCTAACCAAAGTTATGAGAATTTTAATGCAAAGGTAAGGAACCAGAAGCCAAAAGTGTAGCACATTGTCTAGGAGAAAAAAGTCTATGGCTCTGCTATTACAAAGAGTTGGAGCAAGAGTATGCAGATATGTGAAAATGTGAGGAAAAAATGCACTTGGGGTCTTTTTGTTTGTTTTTGCAGTGCTGGGTCTATCAGGGTTTGCTCGAGGAGCAAATTTAAAATATATATAAAAGGATTTACAGGGTAGACTTACAGTGGCCACCTGCAGACTCAGGTATGGGAGAATACAAAAGGTCTGTCTGCATGCTGGAGAGCCAGAGGGTCCATCAGAAGTTAAAGGCCTGGAGCTCACTGCTGAGTCCTGTGTGAGTCCATAACAGGAAGCTGAAGGGTCTGCTGGAATGCTTGAGATGGACATCCAAAGGTGATGGTAAAGACTGGGGATCCTCCAGTGAAACAGAACCAAGACTTCTTTCTTCTTTCCCTTTTTATTCCATCCAAACCACAAGCCTACTGGCTGGTGCCATCCACATCCAGTGTCTTCTGTCTTCAGTAAGTCAGTTATCCAGACACATCCAGAACTGTGCTAAACCAATCTGGTAGGTGTTTCTTACTCAAGTTGACACTACAATTAACTGTTACACGGGGGACCAAAGCCAGGCCTTGCAACATGCTAGGCAAGCTGTCTAGTCCTGTACCATGTCCTTAGCTCTGTGGGAGTTTTTTGTACCGGGAATCAAACTCAGAACCTTGTGGATTGCCAGGCTGGTACTGTGCCACTGAGCTGTATCCCTGGCTCCTCTGTCTTTGTTTTATATAAAGCATTTCAGAATACAAGGAAGACACAGGTAGGTCAACTTCATTGAATGAAGAAATGTCTAGTAGGTTAGACATTAGTCCAAATGGGTCATAATAGTGTTACCTTGGGTACTATATATGGTTTCTAGCTCCTTCTTCTCTGGCACTGTAGCCCTGCTTTGCTTCCCAGCCTCCATAAACTAAGATTTGCTCCCCCATGCCCTTCCATCATGATGTCCTTGCCTGGGAACCAACTTACCATGGACTGAATTCCCCCAAACCATGAGCCAAATTAAACCTGTCCTCCTTTAAATTGTGGGTGCTGGATATTGTGTCTTAGCAAAAAGAAAGCTAATATGGAAAATTGGTACCAGAGTAATTGGGTCATTGCTATGATTGTACCTAATCATTTGGTTTAAAAATCTTTTAGAACTAGTTGCTTAAGGAATTTGGAAAGATTCAGAGATGCAGACTAGTGAAGCCAGAGAATGCTGTAAACCTATAAACAGTTTGATGGGTGATCCCGATTGAAGCTCAGAAGGCTGGAATGTTGATAGGAATGTAGAGAGTAAAGTCCAAGCTAAGTAGGTTTCATTTGGAAAAAAGGTCTCCATTGTCAGTTAGACTAGAAGCCATGCATGTGACATTCTGGCAGAAGCATTATCTACATTTTGCCCATGTCCTGAGACTTTACTGAACACTGAGATTAGAGGTCATGGGCTAATTAACCTGGTGGAGGAAATTTCAAGACAGCTCAACGTTCAGGCTATGACGTGGGTACTGCTGTCTGCTTTAGGTAGAATTATAATAAGAGTTGCGGACTAAAGACAGCAGAAAAATTTGAGACTTAAATTTTTGCCCAGAAGGAAACATTTGCAAAGTTGAGGGCAAAAAAGGTGTGGTGCTAAAGACACTAGTACCATTAAAAAGCAACCAACTACTTTGTACAGGAACAAGAAGAAAGGTGTCTTGAAGGCATCTCAAAAATTTGCAAGACCCTACTCATCACAGGCTCAAAGGTGCAAAAGTGTAAACCTTTCATTTGAAAAGATTGACCCTGGGCCTCCTCCTGGGTAGAGCTTCCTCAGGAGTTGGTTCCCCAGTATTCATTGCATTGTGCTCAGCTATCCAGGCACAGAGGCTACTGCTTAGATTGGCCATGACCACGGAGGCCTGGATGGTGCTCACTGTGGCAAGCAGATCTTGGTGCTATCCATATGATTCTGGTTTTATCTGTATGCAGAATGCAAGAGTTGTGGGGTCATGGAAGCTAAGGGATTCCTGGGAAGACAGGGTAGTGTGTGAAGCTGTGAGAATGAAGCCAAAGGTACAGTGGGGACCCAGGAATGAGAAATGGGAAGAATGTGGAGTATCTGCACAAGAAAGATGGAGGTTATGAGTAGAGTCAGCCCAAGAGAGAGGCCATATGGGCTGCAACTAGCAAGGCCATAGAGGTAGGGTTGCCTAAGCTCTCTGGAACTCACATCTCACCACCGTGTGCCCTGGGTCCTAGATACAGAGCTATAGGACTTAGTGTGACCCCTGGTGGATCTCAGTCTTGCTTTGGTGCAACTCTTTTGTAACCTCTTCCTCCCTTTTGGAATGGCATGTTTGCCCTGTGCTATTGTACCTGAAGATTATGTAACTTGTTTTTGTTTTTTTTTTTCTACAGAGGTTCACAGCTAAGAGTTTGTCTTAACTCTCAGAAGAGACTTGTACTTTTGAAAAATATTGGAACTGTTGAGACTTGGAGTTCCACTTGTAGCAGGATAGTTGTATTATGTTAGGCAGAATTATTAATTTATTATTGTTTTTATTTGGAAAATAATATGGCTTAAGGAAACCTGTTTAGGTGTGAAGTTGACAAGGGGTAGAATGTAACTATTAATCCTCACATGTTAACTTTACTGGATTAAGAAACATGTGATGGATTAGGTGAGTCTGGGTGGGTCTTGGAAGTGTGACCTTGGGTACTATATATGGTCCCCTGCCCCTTCCTCTCTGGCATTGTTCCCATGCTCTGCTTCCTGGCCACCATGGGCTAAGCAGCTTTGTTCCTCCATACCTTCTGTCAGGATGTTCCTACCTGGGACAAGCCAGTCCTGGACTGAAAACTATCAGCCAAATTAACCCTCTGCTTCTATAAATTGTGCGTGTTAGGTATTGTGTCTCAGTGATAAGAAAGCTAACTCGTATAGCTGAAAAGGATAGAGGGACAGTCCAAAGAAAATTTTCATGTCTTGCCAATTTTGCTAATATCCTAGCACTACTTATTTTATGATTTTCCTTTGGTGTGTGCACTTCAGTTTTTCCTGTGTCATAATTTCAAAAGGTTATTTCACTGTTATGTGCATTTAAAATTGTTTCAGTACATGAATACTATGCAAATACAAATGGTGCTAATTTCATAAATTTCTACCTCCTAAATATGATACACAAGGGATGTACTATCATTTAGCAGTATGATAAAATACTCAGATATTTAAGACATCTTATGGAAAGGAACACTAAGCTTTGAAGGACTGTTGGTGTCTCTAATGGTAATTAAATTGTTCTTTGACCTTGTTGACTGGTATTTCCCCCGCTTTTATATCCTCATTGTTTTGTCTTCTGAATGTAGAAGTAGCATACCTACATTGTATTGAATTCAAACAACGTGGCAATGTAAAATGTTTCTCTTTTCTTACTGATCATCATGAATCACTAACAGTTTATTCTACCTGTATTTTAATTTAAAAAATTATCAGTTACAAGTGAAGATGTATGCCTTGGAAGAAGAAAAGGTATTTATTACTTTTTAATTTAATTTAAAGCATACCTAAATGAACTTAATTATTATTTGTTCACTATAACAGAAAAGATCATTAATAACAAATGAAAATGTTGATTGCTTATAATCTCAGAAATAGAAAGGATCTAAAGTAGTTGTGTTATTGGACCTTTCTCATTTTATAGTACAGACTACTGTACCAAGGCCTAACAAAATTAAATGACTTGCTCTGACAAATTGGAAGTAGAACAAAGATTTTTTTCAGCTCCCAAATAAATATTCTTCCCATTCTACTGTAATGTTTTTGTTAAATATAATATATTTTAATGCTTTTTTACTGTAATTGCCTTTTTAAAAAACACTGAAATGACTTATATCTGGCTTACCAATTGGGAAAGGACATGTATCCCAACTAACCTGGAAATTTATCTGGAACTAAATATTTTCTCTAGTTGTTATTTATATATATATGCGAATAGTATACAATTTATAATATTAATAATTGACAGCTTATTATTTTTAGCAAAAAAAATCTTATTAAAAAGTTGCCCTATATCCTTATATCACCATATGAATGCACTCATACCTTTATTAATTGGAATATAGTTGGACTTCTGTATCTCGATTTCATCTTCATGGGTTCAACCAACTGCTCACTGACAACACTAGGGAAGAAAATGTTCATATGTACTGGATGTGCACAGATTTTCTTCCTGGTACTCTGTGAACAATGTAGCATAACAGCTATTAATATAGTATTTATATTGTCTCTGGTATTAGGAGATATTATAAGTAATTTAGAGATGATTTAACATATCTGGGAAGGTATGTGTAGGTTATATGCAAATACTATGCTATTTTATATAATCAAACTTAAGCATATTCAGATTTTGGTATTTATGAGGGTCTTGGAAGGAATTACTAGCAGATTCTGGGAGGTGAGCATATATTTATTCTAGCTATTAAGAATTAAGTAATTATGTAGTGTAAGTTTTCCTAGGAATGCTTTACTGATAAAGTGACTTGTCATTATATTTCATTTCATGATAATTATAATTATATAAATGCTTTATTGAAACTTTTGATATTTTGAAGCCATCAGAAATGTAGTTTGTCATGTAGGTACAAGCCTATGAAGTATTAAGCCTGAAGTAGAGACTTTGGTTCTTGAGCTCTTAAATTTTCCTTTATTCTCTATGCATTAGAAAATACTTAAATATTATCTTTTACTTAAAGGGAAAATATCAACTTGCTACAGAAATAAAAGAAAAAGAAATAGAAGGATTGAAGGAAACATTAAAAGAGTTACAGGTAATGCAATTTAGTATTATTTAAAAAGTAATTTGCTCAAAAAAAGCAATTCGCAATTTTAGCATATCAGTAAACACTATTAAACATGTAAGCTAGCGAAGCAAAGCTGAAAAAAACTCGTATGTGATATATTACATAATTTAATAGATTTTCCTGAGAACCTTAAATGTCAAATTAAGAGTTTTGCTTCATCTTTTATTTAAAAATATTTAAGTAAATTTTATTATTTTTAATAGTAATTTAATTGTAGCTTTTAACCCTATACATGAAGAAAACAAATAAGGTTTATATAGTATAATTTATTTACTCATGGTCTTTAAAAATTTAAACAAAACAAAAGATTACAGAGCTGGGTGTGGTGGTGCAGCCTGTAATCCCAACACTCAAAGAGGCTGAGGCAGGAGGATCACTGTGAGTTGGAGGCCAGCATGGGCTACAGAGTGAGTTCAAGGCCAGCCTTGACTATATAGCAAGCCCCTGTCTCTAAATAAATAAATGAATAAATAAATAAATGGAAACAAAAACAACCACAAAAAATTAAAATAGCATTATTGAATCTTTACTGTGTGCAAGTATTGTGCTTACTTCCTACAAAGACTAAGAAAACATCAGTTTTGTTCAGTCTCACAGAAGACACAGAAGTGCTCTGCTAATGAGGACTCATTCAGTGTATATTTATTAAGCCAACACTTTCTTCAGCCCTGGAGACACAACAGTGAGTGAAACAGACACCTCTGCCCTTGCAGACCATGTGAAAAACTACGATGAGTAAAGTGGAGATTGTCAGGGAAGAAAATACTCTTATCATTTCAAAGTCTTATGCTTAGATAACATTAGTTACAGAGAGCAACATATATATTTACAATGGAAGGACCCTGGAAGTCATTGCCTTAAGCAGAAGATCGAATGTAGCATTGTTAATCGTGATTTCAGCTTTTCCAGGGGCTGCTGTTCTTGTGCAGTGAGGGCACGTAACCCTACCTGTAATCTTCTGACCAAAAACATTAACCTGAATCGAATACTGACAAAATGGTGAGATTCATAATGTGTGCTGTCCTCTGAGACAGCAGCCTTGTGGTACTGGTTTTATTTTTTGATGAAAGAGAATAAAGAGAACGGTTATGTGCGATATATGAACCTTTGCACCCTGAATCAGGGAGTTTCAAACCCATAAAAACTTGAAGGACAATTGGAGAAATTTGAACAGGACTGGGTAGTAGGTGACAGGGAGTCGTTGTTAATCTTCCCAGGGTGTTACGGGTACTGTGGTTTGACCGATGGTCTTTAATCTTAGAAAAATTATGATGAAGTTTTGAGGAGCAACGTTTCATGACAGCTGCAAGTTACTTTCACGTAGTTCAGGAAATAAAGTGTGTGTGTGTAAACAAAGACAAGAAAGTATGGAAATATGATAAGAATTGGTGAATCTAGAAGTCAGAAAAACATCAGTTTTAGAAGGGTATGAATAAGATTGAGGATTGTATGGTTTTAAAGTTTATCTTCTTTATAATTCTTAAAGTGGTTGTCTAGAGACTAGAATTATATTTGTGCATATTCATATATATTTATATATGTAAACGCATATCTGTTCTATCCTGCTAGCATAGTTTACGGGGTGCACCGTCTGTGGTGAGTCCTGTAGGGGAGTGGCAAGCCGTGTCAGGTGATAGGCCTCCATACAGGTTGTGTTCCTCTGGCTGGTTACTCCATTGTCGGGAGAGGCCCAGAGCTCCTGCTACCTCGTTAGAAAATGATGCAGGTCCAGGTGCTGCCCCCGGAGAGGAGGAGACTGGAGTCGCAGCTTCTTCTGTGTGACCCTCACATGCAGTCATGCCAGAGGTGTGCAGTGTGCGGAGGACCCGCATAGGTGTGGTGTTAGCAAAAGTTGTGTTCTTCCTTTCTGCTGCTACTGTAGGGGTGTTTGGCCAGCAGTGGGACCTCAGACAGCTGGGAGCTTTTGTTCCCCTGTTCTTTAAGTTGAAGTTCACTAGGATTGGAGTGTGACTGCATTGTGGCAGGATCCGGGCACAATTCCTGTGAGCTGGGCTGGAAGTGTAGCTCAGGAATAAACACCTGCCCCATGTGCACAGGCCCCTGGATTGCAGCACCACCAAGAACAAAAAACAACTCCCCACACCCAAAAAACTATCCAGCTGAAGTATTTGGAGGCATGAGCAGGGGACAGATGATCGTGACTTTGCCAAGGAAAGCTTCTCCCCTGGCCTTCTGAGCTGGTGTTCTCCAGGGGCAGGGCGTTGGCCCAGGGTTTCTCGTCCTCCCTTAGTTCTTCCCGGTGTGGTGCTCACCAGGTAGTAAGCTCGGGCTGAATCGCAGCTGCAGCTCATTGAGGTTTCTCTCAACTGAGCTGCAAGCTTGAATAACCTAGTGGAGAGCACAGGCAGTATCAGGCTCCAGAGCTCTGCATATACAGTTACCCACTGGTAAGGAGTTCTTCAACATGTGAATAATTTTGTATACTGGAGAAGAAATAGAAAGACAAACAATAAAAAAGAAAGTTCCTGGAGTTGGGAAGGTGGAAAAGCGTTCTTATCCACAAATGGTTCTGGTACAAGTAGAGACACTGTGAACAAAAACATTCTACAGCTAGACTTATGCCCTTCACAAAAATGAACTCAGAGTGGACCACAGAGCAGAACGTAAGACAGTAAACCATAAAACTTCTATGAGATAATATAGAAGACCTACATGATCATGTGTTTGTTGATGACCTTTTAGGTATAACACCAAAGTCATGATCCATGAAAGATATGATAAGCTGGGCTTCACTAAAATCAAAAACTTCTGCTCTTCAAAAGACACTATCAAGAAAATGACAAACTATAGATAAAGAAAATACTTGCTCTGGGTGGTAATCCCAGCATTTGGAAGACTGAGGCAAGGGATTGCCCAGAGTTTGAGGCCAATCTGGGTTATATACTGAGTTCAAGGCCAGCCTGAACTGCACAACAAAATCCTGTCTCAAAAAGACAAAAAAAAAGAAAAAGAAGTAGGGGCTGGGGATTTAGCTCAGCGGCAAAAGCGCCTGCCTGGCAAGCGCAAGGTCGTAAGTTCGGTTCCCGGTACCGGAGAAAAACCAAAAAAAAAAAAAAAAGAAAAAGAAAAAAAGAAAATATTTGCAAAAAATAAATATATCTGATGAAAGACTGCTACTCAAAGTACACAAAGAGCTCTTTCAAACCCAACTATAAGAAAGCAACCCAATAAAAAACAGGCTGAAGATCTTTTCTCTCTGTTTTTTTCCTTTGGGTTCTGGGGGTTGAACTCAGAGCCTTCACATTGAGCTACATCCCCAGTCCTTGTTACTTGTTTTTATTTTGAGTCAGGGTGTTGCTAGGTTGCCGAGGCTCAGACCTTGAATCCTTCTGCCTTGGCCTCCTAGAGTGCTATTATTACAAGCACATACCACCCGGGCCTGGCTAAAACAGGCCAAAGATATTAACAGACACTTCCCCAAAAAAGATACACATACAGATAGCATATGCGTATGAAAAGATGTCCCTTATCATATGTCATCAAGAATTATGAATTAAAACACTGAAGTAGCACTGCACACCAGTGAGAACAGCTGCACTCTGGAGCAGCAACACCAGCAAGAAGCAGAGAGGACAGGGAGCAGCAGGTGCTCTGGGTCTCACTGGTGGAAGAGCTCAGTGGTACAGCCACTCTGGGAGTCATTTCAGTTGTTTCTTACAAAACTAAACTCAACAAAGCAAATCACACTCCTTGATATTAACCCAGATAAGCTGATAACTCATGTGCACAAGAAAACCTGCATGTGGCCACTTGTAGCAGCTCTATTCATATTCCAGACCTTGGGAACAAGCAAAGTGTGTTTCAGGAGGTGAATGGATGAACAAGTGGTGTATTGGGTTAATGTTATCACTTAGTTATTGTGGACTGATCAGGCCCACAGTCTCCCAAATGAGTGTATGGTGAAGGCTTAAACAAAAGAGTCCAGTGATATGATTTTAGGGCTCCAGAAGGATTAAAACCCTCTGACAGAATTCAAGAGTCTCTGGGGCCTATGACCAAGAACTTCTTTGGGTAGCCCATATTCATTTGGTTTTCAAAAAGGGAGGGGAATACCAAGGAAAGCTCAGGAATCTGAGCAGGACCTTGGGAGTCTGTTCAAGGACTTCTCCAAGCAATACATTATGTTAATTTAGGAGAAGTATATTATCTCCAGGAAGGCCTTCACACAGGGGTGAAGATACCTGCAGCTAGTCTTTTGTTGATTGAGGTTGGAGCCAGGTATCCTGAGCTGTGGCCTTGCTTGTCCTTTGGGGCTTCATGGCTTCACTTGCCACTACAGGCCTCAGCCGGGACCAGTGACTCACAGAAGTTCACTTACTATAAGTCTGCTGCCCATCTCCAGACAAGGGGCCTAGGCATTGGACATGCTTGCAAATAAACATAGCTAATTGGTTAATTTTAAATCCTGCTCTGAGCCACTTTGTAGTGGTCACCATCATGGTAGTATGTGCCCCTCTCAAATGGTGGTTGTTTTACTCAATGGATTAAAATCTATGACGGTCATCTGTTTTGATGCTCAAATTATTCTTGGTTTGACCAGCAAGAATCCATTTAAGCTAGGTTTTTAGTCTTTCTGACATCATTATTTTATCATTTTCCTGCTTTCAAATAAAAATTAAATATGCCAGGATCATGGGGTACTTTACCTGACCTTGACTTGGAACAAACCATTTCTCCATATTGAACTGGTTCCTGTTAGCAGAAAAATGGTGTGTAGCAGACAAGATCTGGGCGTTATCATACTCAGTGCTGCGCGGTGTCAGTGCTTCCAGGACCTTCAAACAGAACTAGGGAAAAGTGAGCATTCAGAGCACATACATGAGCACACACACTCACAGTTACCCTTTATTTCTATGTCAGTCTATAGATTGAAAACTGAATTCACACCATGTCCACACATGGTCTCCAAGTACAGGGTTGCTTTAGTTTATTTCCTTTCCTGTGTTATTACATTCTTGTCTTTCAGATATCCAACTTTCATTATTGTTAGTGTGCTTACACATTTGAAAAATCTTCCTGTATGTAGTCACTCTGTTACTCTAACATCCGCTCCTTCCTCATGTGGGTGTCATCCTTGCCTGGTGTGGATTCCCACACCTTGAGCTAGGTTGTCCTTTTACTAAGTTCACCTGCCCCTCCCTCCCTCCCTCCCTCCATCCCTCCGTCCTTCCTTCCTTCCTGGGCTGGGGATTGAATCTAGGGCCTCTCTCTTGCTAAGTGCCTGTCCTCCCACTGAGCCGCATCTTCACAGCAGATTGTCCTCCCTCCCAGGGACCCCCTTGTCCTCTGTCAGGCTGGTTCCTGTTCTGTAACATTGTGCCCATAACTTCCCTTCTACACAGATCCTCACCTTGTTCTGCCTCACCTAGTGGACTTGGACCTGAATTGTTGTGAAAGAGGAAAGGGTTCAGTGTTTTTAGTATTGTATTTTGGGGGACTTTGTTCACAAGTAATATAAATACAATTAATGAAAAAATTAGTAAGAAAATAAGGTTTGCTCTAAAGTGTGCTTTTAGTGAACTTTCATTACATTTTTTCATAAATTGTGGTATAATCATTAGGAAAGTATCTGTCATCTTTGACATTTCCTTCTACAGTTAATATTAATTAGTATCACTATAGTTTTATTCTTTTACTAGACAGATACCTGCATCTGCTATTATAAACCAAATTGTATGTGATTTTTAGGATTAAAAAATAAAACATTAACTATAACATTCATAAAAAGATTGTGTATCAGTCTAATTATCTTATTTTCAAGTTCAACTCTGTCAAAAAAGCAATCATGTAGTGTCTTTATAAACTAGGCATTGCTCTAAAGGCACTGATAAAATATAGCTGTGGACTGTAATTTAGGAGGGCAGAGATTATGAGGTCTCAAAAGCAGTGGCCTCGGGGCTGGGGATTTAGCTCAGCGGCAAAGCGCCTGCCTGGCAAGCGCAAGGTC